TTTTACCTCTAACCCTTCACACTATTCATACTCAATTTCTGCCCCCTTAGGGTCTTCTGATCACAACCTTATCTCTATTAAATCAAACTGGGTATGACCACCTCCCCCACCCCCCTCTAAACGTCAACTATGGCGCTATCGGTGGGCAAGCTTGCAATCCTTGCGAGAATTCTTCACCGACTTTCCTTGGGATGAATGTTGCTTTTCCACTCGGGACGCCTCGGTATGTGCTGACAGCATTGCTGGGGTTATACAGGGCGGTATGAGTACATTTATTCCATCTTCTACCAAAATTTTCAATTTACAATCATGGTTTGATCGCTCCTGTTCTCTTGCTTGCAGGGTGAGAGATAAGGCATATCAAGCTATGAGACTATCTCCATCTCCTTTTACCCACAACTCTTTCATTACTTTTAGGAATCGTTGTAAGGCTATTCTTCATAGGGCCAAGCGGAATTTTATAAAAAGAAAGACCGCTGTCCTGACTAATTCTTCCTCTAGTAAATCCTTTTGGTCCTTAACTAAAAACATCTGAAACAACTTCTGCACGCATTCTTTTCCTCCCCTCTTCCGACCCGATAACTCTATAGCCAACTCTCCCCCTGACAAAGCCAACCTCTTTGGCACCTTATTCTCCTCTAATTCCACCTTAGACGATTCTTACTCTATCTCTCCTACCCCTGCACCTTCTACTGAACCTATGCACTTTCCTATAATCTCCACTTGCAGGGTTGCCGGTGTGTTATCCAGGTTGGGTGTGAGTAAGGCACATGGTCTGGATGGAATACCCCCTCGTGTTCTGAGGGAATGTGCTGAAGCTCTGGCCCCTGTGCTTGCTCGCCTCTGCCTCAAAACCCAAAATTTTCCTTCTTCTTAGAAGCATGCCTTGGTTCAGCCCATCCCGAAGAAGGGTGACCATTCGAATCTCTCTATCGCCCCATTGCCCTAACTTCAACCCTCTCTATGATTTTCGAAACCATCTTGAACTCCCATTTTCTCCGTCACCTTGAAAGCCTTTCTCTTTTGTCGGATCACCAGTATGGCTTTCGCCAGGCGAAATCTACTGGTGATCTGCTCTCCTATTGCACCCATCTCTGGTCATCCTCTCTTAGGGATTATGAGGAAACTTTCGTCGTGGCCCTCAACATCTCCAAAGCATTTGACAGGGTATGGCACAAGTCTTTGCTATCTAAACTTCCCTCTTTTGGTTTCTCTCCCCCACTTTGTTTTCTCATCTCTAGCTTCCTTGAGAACCGATCCATGGCAGTTGTTGTCGAGGGCTCGATCTCTCGCTCTTTCTCTACCAGTAGTGGTGTCCCACAGGGTTCTGTTCTTTCACCTACTCTCTTCCTACTTTTTATCAACGATTTACTTCACACTACAACTAATTCTATCCATTCTTATGCTGATGATTCTACTCTTCACTCTTCTTCACATTTTCCCCTTCCTCCTAACTCTCAAACTAGATCTGTTTCTAGAACTGATATCATTACTTCTATCAATGTGGATCTGTGCAGCATCTCTGAATGGGGAGGTACAAACTTGGTTAAGTTCAACAGTAATAAAACTCAATATTTACCAATTACACTTTGTAAATTAGACGATCTCCCCCCAAATTCTGAAATAAATATGTTAGGCCTCACCATTTCCTCCAATATGTCCTGGAAATCACACATCGTTAATATAGCTAAAGCTGCCTCCCGAAAGTTGGGAATGCTGTACAGATGCCGTAGCTACTTCACTCCTGAGCAGTTGCTCCAAGTATATAAGGGATTCATTCGTCCTAGCTTGGAGTACTGCTCTCATATCTGGGGTGGCTCTTCTTCTGTCCAACTATTAGATAGGGTGGAATCAAAGGCATTTCGTCTTATTAACTCTCCTCCTTTAGTCGACAATCTCTCTTCCCTTTCTCTTCGCCGCAATGTTGCTTCACTCTCACTCTTTTATAGGTACTTTAACGGGCAATGTTCAGTGGATTTGGCATCCTGTGTACCGCCGGCAAGGCCGTGGGCTCGTAACACACGTCTTGCCCATGGTGCCCACCATTTCTCTGTGGATGTCGGTCACACTAGAATAACCCGTTATAGTACCTCCTTCTTTCCTCACACAGCCTAACTGTGGAATGCTCTGCCTTCTTCTGTGTTTCCATACTCACACAATGTCTCACTTTAAAAGGCTGGTTTTCCGGCATCTTCATGGTGTAGATTAACACAGTATACTGTACAGTATAACCTTTTTCTTCTCTATATTCAATTTCTATCTGTTCTTTCCCCCAGTCCCCGTTGTGGGTCGTTTGACCTGTGCCTGGGTGGGCTAATTCCCGTATAAAAAAAATAATAATAAAATAAAAATAAAAATAAAAAAAACACAAGAAAAGATTACTAGAAAATATAGATATGAAGCAAGTATATAAGTATTGAAAAATAAAGAGAATAAATATGAAGTATAAAAAAAGAGTTCCTTACACTACACCCTGGTGGCAGATCGCGGCAACACAAAACATCACAGCCCAAAATATGAGTTTCACATCCTGTCGTTAATTCTGTTGACCAAAATATAAACAAGCCACACAGCTGCTCAGATCAGAGGTAGAGTTGGGTTAGTATAATGTTACTATATATGATTTCCTACTTGATTCCAGTATACAGTCTCTCCTCGACTTACGACAACCCGGACATACGACGGCCATGGTTGTATAAAATATTTTTTCTTCTTTACGTATTTTCAAGTCCTGACATTAGTGATCGCGCTGTGTTCTCACAATTTTTTTTTTTTGTAATTCCCTTTAAAATGGCTGGCAAGCGTAAAAGTGAGAGTTCTCGTGGTGCTGAGAAGAAAAAGAGACGCCCATTTCAGAAATTCTATGTATTATTTTCGCCTTTTCGACTTACGACCAAATCGACTTACAACCTGGTCGTCGGAACGGAACCCCGTCGTAAGTCGAGGAGAAATTGTATATTGTAATTACATGCACAAAATCATATGTTTTCCCCTACAAAATCAATTTAAATCACTTTCAATAATTGTATGATGAAACGTACTAAAAAATATTTTTCTACAAAATATCCTTGAAAATTAGAGGTGCGTCTTATGTGGTGGTGGATCGTACATGCTGGCAAATATGGTATGTATGTTGTGATATCAATAGTATGAGAAGCAATTGAGACCCTGCAAATGTGTGTAAATGAAGCAGAAAGTCAGATCAGCAACCTGGGACTTGGTTACAATATTTGTAATGCCGTTTGGCAGCAGGGTTTATCATTAGACAACACATTATGCTTCCAATATCTTCCCAGTCAGTAGTACCTCCCTGTTTGGTAGCTGTCTACTACCAACATGGATCGTACAGCGTTTAGGACGGTGGTGAATGCAGTAAAGTAGAAAGGCTGTTTAGATATCTGGATGGTCCGTCGCTCATCACGATCTTCAAGAGTGAGGTGCTTCCCCGTCTGGTCCCGAGATATGCTAGAGAAGGTCAATTGATTGAACATGCCCAAAGGAGGGCCACCAGACTGGTGCCTGCACTATGGAACCTCAGTTACCCAGAGAGATTGGAGTGCCTGCAACTACCTAGCTTATACTACAGACGGGCGAGGGGTGACCAAATTGAAGTGTATACTGTTAATATCTCAGGGGACACTCTCAGTCGAATGTACATACCTTACAGGTAGTAGGTAGCAGGCAGCTACCAAACAGGGAGGTACTACTGCCTGGGAAGATATTGGAAGCATAATGTGTTGTCTAATGATAAACCCTGCTGCCAAACGGCATTACAAATATTGTGACCAAGTCCCAGGTTGCTGATCTGACTTTCTGCTTCATTTACACACATTTGCAGGGTCTCAATTGCTTCTCGTACTATTGATATCACAACATACATATATTGTTTCTCACTCTTGAACTCTTTTTTTTTTCATTTTTGTATGTCTTTATTATTATTATTATTATTATTATTATTATTATTATTATTACTATTATCATTATTATTTCATTATTTTCATTTTTATTTATTTATTTTATGAATTATTATTAATTTATTATTATTATTAACAAATTTTTGTCCCTCAGGCCCTGATGTGGGTCAGTGCAGGTGGGCTAATCCCCGTAAAAAAAAAAGGAGCTGAAAGACGTCCACCCCACAAGGGGTCACAGCTCAAGGTTGAAGAAGCAGCAGGTCCAGAAAACTGTGAGGGCAAACTTCTTCGGAGTGAGAATTGTGAACTCTTGGAACAATCTGCCAGAAAGTGTGACTGCACCGAGTGTGAGCTCTTTCAAAGCCAGACTTGACCTAACACTGGAGCAGGTTCAGGTACATTCAGGAGCCAGTGCATGCCCAGTATCTGCCAACAGTGTGTATCAGAGATGTGACCGACCGCCCAACCGGCTAACGAGCTGATCAGTGGGGAAGAGGATAAAAAAAGAAAGAAAAAGATATACCTTCCTCAATAACAGACCTGATTTGGGGGTGAAGGCAGTTTGCCCATGGATATACATTAATAAGCATCACAAACTTAACTTATGGGCATTTCAAACTGGAAGGCACTTCTATCATGTCTTCTTTAATTAATGTAAACATAATAGAGGAACAGAAGTACTGCAGACCCGCTACAATCTTAAATTCCTAATACACTGTCACAGAATATCCAACATATTTTTGGTATTTTTTTCCCTAATGGGAAAGAAGAATTAGAACCCACTTTTGCCAGTGTTCAGAGTTCAAGTACAGTGCTTCACCTAAGAGAGAAAATAGGTAATAGACTAATTTTAAAACACAAGAACATATGATGAAATTATTATTCTCTCTTTTAATTTTTTCTCCCCTTTTGCTCTTGATGCTCTTGATGCTAGTACATTCCATGATATACTGTACATGACATCTCCAATGCCTTCCACATACCTGTACATAATAAACATAAGCACATGTTTTTTGTGATGTCAGTGCAACCCTCTATGCAACTAACCAATGCAGATAGTACTGTATTGTATAAGCTATAACTCACAGTAGATACTTCTTGATATTCCTCTGTAAAGCCTTATTGTTGGTGATTGCTCTGGGCACACCATCAGGGATTCCATCAATGTCCACCCCACTATCCCAGATTTGGCCAACAAAACGGTCCAAGAGATGTCCATGTTTCTGCATGTTATTATGTATCTGTAATTTAAATGGGGGTTCTATTAATGCCATGTTAGAAAGTGATAATGAAAAGTCACCTGACCTAATCTAATTTTTAACATAAATGCTGAGGTGGCTGGTAACTTAACGAGGTGGATGGTAATGAAGTACTGTACAGTTACTTCACTACCCAGCTCAACTAACTTTTTTGGGGGATAATTAATTACTTGAAAGTAACTTTCTTTCTTGGTACTTTCACTTTTACTTGAGTAACATTTCAGACAATTATCGGTACCTTTCCTTCCTTATTTTTGTTTGGCCTCTCATTACCTTCTGGGCGTCTCAGCGGTGAATGTGTGACAATTGCTTAGGCAAGCCAATCATAACAGCTGTGTTCCCAGCCAGTAAAAGCCACATACAGTACTGTATACTGTACCCCGTGTGTTTCATTTTTCTGTGTACAGCTCCAGTATAAACATTTATTTAATGAGCTCTATCTTTAGCAACATGGCTGAAAACAATTCTCTTAGCCATATATGAATGAAAGAAAAGATATGTGCAGCGATTTATTAACTGTATACTGTATACCATACATAAAATGAAGGGTTTAAATTCCTCACATAGTACAGTACAGTACAGTACAGTACATGTATCTAATATATAATCATTGGTGCTTAATTTCCTTTAAGCAAATAATGCCAAGAATCATTTCATATACAGGTATACTGTGTCTAGTTTGTTTTTAATGCATTACATTTAAGATACTCTTGCCTACAGGTTACGGGAAGCAGCCAGGTGAACAGAATTATTTACTCTGTTGAGTACGGTATATTATTGAGACTACATTACCAGATGTCGTAATTCTTTCATAAATTTTGTTGCAATGGTAATATTACTACGAGTATTTGAGTACTTTGCAAACATATTACTTTTACTTGAAGTACAACAAGACGAGAATTACTTTTACTTTAGTAATTTCTTCTCAGAGTAACAATACTTTAGCTCAGGTAATTTTTTTCCAGTACAGTACAGTAGAGTCTCAGAGTAAGTGACCCCGCTTATACGTGTCTGAGCCCCTGAACTACCCTTACGCTCAGGTCTAGTTCATGCGCAAGCCAACCCACCCAGCATCTCTCGCTATCTCCCCATTTATCGTTTGTCTATGTCGTTTGAGAAAAAATTAAATCATTACAATACTTTTATGTGGCTTAGAAATAAATAAAATATTACATAAAACTAGAAAATAAGAAAAATGAAGAGCATCGATGTGTGTATAGGAAGTGAACCTTTGTGTGGAGACAGTGAGCTGTAACTGTGTCGCCGACTCACTTTTCCAGCCGAGCTCCCTCCCTTCTGGGTGACTGCCCGGTTGAGCAATCAGGAAGGAGCTATTCTTTGTGCATAAAATAATATACACTGTACCAGTAAAAGTGAGGAATAAATAAAAATAACAATAAAAAAATACTCCATTGCCATTTGGCAATCTTTTCACTAAGCACTGGATGCAGGACAGCGCTAGCAGCTGAGATCTCTTACGCTGCTCCCACCCGTCAGCTCTGTGTGCTAACTCCAGCACACGAAGAAATGTTTATTCCCATTATGTTTTTGACCTTATGATAATTTTCTTCACTCTGTATGAACGATTAAATGTGCATGAAACAGAGTAAAAAAGAAATTATACTGTAACTACCTGAAATTACAAGTTTAAAAATAACCATAACATAACCTTAGTGTGATTCTCTTTCTTGCACTGGTTGTGTGAACATCTCCTAGGTGTTCACACTGGTAAAGTTTTTCTCTACTGGTGAATTAGTGTCAGTGCTCATCGTGATGAGAGTGAGAAAAAGGAGTGGTGTATCAAACTCTGATATTGCGTGTCGGTTATCTTAGTATAAAAAAGATCATACGTACAGTATACAGTCATGTGCTGGTTAACGTCCTAGATACGTTCTTGGAAACGTGACGTTAACCGAAATGGACGTTGTCCGATCATCACAAAAACGCGATAACGAAAGTACAGAACCTTTGGGATAAATTCTAATTGGTTCCAGGCACCCAAGACCCAACCCCAAGTTTCCCATTTTACGACCATTTAGACTCGCTAAATATATATATATATATATATAATGTTATGGTAAATATCATAAACACACATAGGCATGGCTAGGTTTATTACAAAGTGATGAAAAGGGTACGCTCAATACTGTAGTCCACAAAACATGTAGTTATGCTTTCTTTATTTGAGTCCCCCATCATACGAGTCCGTTTTCTCTCAGTTCAGGATGCCTGAGTCCTCCGTTTTCTCTCAATCTTAAAGTGCACCCGAGGCTTCGTTATTCCGTAGTAATGACACAGAATTTGATATTGCAACTGGGGTTGCAATTGTTGAGGCAACTTAGATATGTCTGATTACAGTTGGAATATTCAAGATCCATTGTGAGTGATGTTGAAAGCTTCAACTGTCTTTATGGTTGGTAAAACTTGTCAAGTCTGTCAGTCTGAGTGGCATGTGTGAGTGCTTGTGTTTGTACAACCGCTTTCAATCAGACCCACTAAACATATAATGTTATGGTAAATACAGTTGAGTCTGGATTTACGCGGTTTTCGTTTACACGTTTTGTCATTTACGCGGTACTTTGCCGGAAGCGGGATGCTTGATTTATGCGGTAAATTTGGTCATTTACGCGGAGAGCGACTGGCGGTCCTTTCGCGCCGCGCCACTTTTGGATTCAAACCTCCGGCCATGTTGGGTAAGCGGTGCGAGTAGGTTGCGCAGTGTATGTCTCTGTTGCGTTATCAGTGACGTCATATGACGTATCGGACTGTGATTGGGCCACGCATCCTTACCTCCCTCCGCCGCTAGCTGTGATTGGTTTAATGTAATATGACGTGCCCTGCAGCGGGAGGGATGAAGCCGCTGACCTAGCCGCGTCAGTTACTCTCCTCCCAGTCACCCCGTGTATACTGTGTTCTATTGTTCGGATAATCTCGCTAATCTCGTAAGAATGGCTTCCACTGGACCTCCACCACCACAGAAAAACCTTGCATTACCTGGACCCAGCTGCCCTAAGCCAAAGAAGATACGACGTGCCCTAAGTTACGAGATGAAGTACAATATAATACAAGAGTTAAAAAAGGAACAAGACAGGTCGATCTCGCGCGCCAGCATGGTGTTAACGAATCTACGATCCGGACGATCAAGATGGATGCAGCCAAGATAAAAGAACACATGAACATCATAAAGTCTGCAGGTGCTTCAATGGTGAAGTACTGCCAGAACAAGGTGCTTCTCAAGACGGAGAATTTACTTGTGAGCTACTTGATTCGTCAGGCACGACGGAACATGGCGGTGGACACGCGGTCGGTTCAAGAGTACACACGTGAACTGTACGTAGCAGTGGCACGTAAGATGGGAATTGCAGAGCCCAAACCCTTCACTGCTTCCTCTGGGTGGCTGCTAGGGTTTAAGAAGATGAACAAGATCACCAAAATTAACATTGGTGGTGAAGGAGCGAGTGCTGACCGTGTTGCGTCTAGTGATTTTCCTCCATTCTTACGAGAAGTTATGGAGGAAGGACAGTACACCGACGACCAGGTGTTCAACATGGATGAATCGGGTCTGTTTTGGAAAAAGCTACCTTCCAGACCTTCGTTGTCAAGTCTGCCAGCAAGTGTCGGGGCTGGAAGTTGCAGAAGGAGAGCATCACCGTCCTGTTTACCACCAATGCCTCCGGTGCCTGTAAACTCAAGTTATCGGTGATCCACACAGCCCGCAAGCCGCACGCCTACAAGAATATGGACATGACCAAGCTAAATGTCCACTGGCTAACCGCACGTAAGGCGTAGATGTTCTCTGCTCTGTCCCTCTCCTGGTTTGACGACTGTTTTGTTCCCGACGTCAAGAAATTCTGCGAGCAACAGAATGTTCCATTCAACATTTTGTTGCTGCTTGACAACGCACCAGGACACTCGCCCCTACTGTTGGATCGTCACCCCAACGTAAAAGTGGTCTTCCTTCCTCCCAACACTACGTCATTAATACAGCCCATGGACCAGGAGTTGATATGCAACGTTAAGGCTGCATTCTCTACAAAGAAGTTTAAGCTCCTGAACGACTGTACCAACACAAAGGATGAGTTGCGTAACCTGGGTGACACCGATAGCCAGAGCGAAGAGGACGAGGAACAAGAGTTGGCGGATCAAGAAGTTTGCGTCAAACAGTTTTGGAAGAAATTTAACGTCAAGAAAACTGTTGACTTCTTGGTGGAGGCATGGGATCAGCTGTCTGTAGCAACGATTCGTCACGCATGGCGGCATGTGTTGTAAGGTATCCCAGGTGGGCAGGGCCGGATTCAGGAGTGGGCAAAGTGGGCAGCTGCCCAGGGGCCTCCACAATCTGGGGGCCTCCACATATTACAATATTTTATTTATTTGTTTATTCATTTGGATTATTTTTATTTTCATTCTTTAAAATTCATGTTTATCTATACCATCACGTAAAACTATGTTCAGCAAGAAGCGTGATAGAAATTAGGCTAGCTACTCCTTGAAATTCATGAATACCTGGTTTTCCTACGAACCGTATATTTTTAATGAATGCTATTGTTTGTGTTGCTAATAATATATTTAGAATTCCACAAACATCTCTCTGTAATAACTAATAATATATTCTTTTCTGTGAAGTCTCTTGAAAATTTTTGACATGTGTGGTAGTAGCTATATCAGGGCTGGTTGACTTGAAACCACATGAATGACTCCAGTCATGTCTCACTTTTGTGTTGGGAATTTGTACACTATCAATAAATATACAGTTAATTAAAAAATTTTCAATGTTCTAATTTCCTCAATATAACTGCATATGGCTTCAAAATTCTCCAAAGAAGTGTTAAAATTTAAAAATTTTCCCGGGGGGCTTACAGCGCCCCCCGGAACTCCCATATATTTAGGCTCGCTTCACTCGCCACCCCACCCTCTTGGTTAGTTATAATGAGGGGGGCCTCCACAAAGAGGCTGCCCATGGACCTCCACAGGTCAAAATC